TTTAGGTCCAGGGTTGAGCAGAAGGGAACGAGCGGCTTAAAAAGCTTTCAAGAGCATCGAAGATGTAGTAAAGAGAAAAAAAACACCCGACTGCGTGCCGAGCCTTTCGACTAAACGGTACTTCTTGCCCCAAGGTATGCGTCAGAAACCTGGTCGCTGCTTATGCAGGATGAAAGACCACTCAGCGTTATTGAACGTGCAGTTGAAAGGGCGATGTTAGGGGCATCTCGTCTAACAAAAGTAGAGAAAGGATCCGAAGCTCCGACTTGCGTCGACGATAGAAGATCAAAGATCCCGTTCTATATTCCAAACCGTCGGAGATAAGGGGAACAGATACGTGATGGGCCTTAACGGTAAGCGATGAACAACAGTCGTTAATGAGTGGATTCCTCGAGATGTCAAACGTACTGCAGGAACACCACCGACCCGATGGTCAGAGTTCTTAACGAAAGCCCTAGAAGAGAAGTTTGACGCTCAACGAGTCCTTGCAGCGAGCAGAACCCACTGGGCTACTCTTGCACGCGACAGGGATAAATGTAAGATTTACTGGCGTCCGCTCGAGTCACTCGAGTATCAAAAGCGCTACAGGTGACAGATGACAGAGTACACTTAATATACAAATCAGGCGACGGTTGCGAAAATTTCTTCAGTCACCATCCTTGGGCTTAATAACTATGCGCAATATCCTCCAATTATCTGAGATTTCTTCCTTCTAAAGATGAGATGTCGTAAAGGTTGCGAGAATTACATAAAATTTCTGTCTTTGACTTATCTGAAATTAGGGTTTATATTTTTGGGTCCTAGGGATGTAGATCTCTTCATGCTTAGTATTGCAAATAGAACTTCAGAGCGCAGAATGCTCATGGGTTTTCTCCACCAGGGACTTCTACTCCCAGGCAGTAATTATAGAACGGAAAAAATTTGAAAATTAATAAAGAGACTAACTATAAAACATCAACTGCAAGGTTTGCTTTCATGGGAGACTCTCGCCACGGCATCCGCATTGCATGAGCTACCTAATGATTACAAGATTTCTAAGAAAAAACTTCTGGCCCCAAAATAATCCCCAGAGCAACATGACCAACTATAGGTGTCGTCCCGGCCACTCTTGCAAATCATTTTGATACCTGTGGATGTCATTGGTCGCGAGTGTTTTAGTGAAGGTGACTCTATGGCGCATCCCTCACCGACTTATTAACACCCAACTCTGTCGAAGTGAGTGCACAAACGGCGTTTCACCAAACATGACACAGTCATGTAAACCAATGTATCGTTAGCCCTTGTCTCTTTTGTGCCTGCGTGATAAATTCCAAAGAATCAAATTTCTTACCTAATTTCTCACATTGTTTAACCATAACGAAATTTATACTTTGAAGACCACGGACCCCACTCATATCAGTGATCTCGGGCCGGTTAGTCACGATACTAAGTGGCGCGTCCCAGGTGGCGGATAGGGGGTTAATCGCGGATCAAAAGAGAGCTTTGCTTCATGAGACGTTGGTAGATCGAGAGGGTGGATCCCTGTTTCTGCTGCGCTGATTTGGCACGTACTTTCTCTATTTACTAGGCGTTTTCATGCATGTGTGTGTGGGGCATTCTTGCTTATGTGGATTGTATTCTGCGAGTCAGTTCTGACAAAAGCCTGCAATCAAGTGACTGGGAATTATTGGGAGGCGGCTAGGGGTCGCCTCCAACAAATAAGCTCCATGTCCACTCTGGGAAATCCTGGCAAGCTACCTGTGAGTATACCTAGCCCCCACGTGCAGAGCCCAGCTATACGTGGGTATCAAAAATGCTAAACACAGTTTAAAAAAACGGGCCTCATTCTCCTCACTCGGAAAGAGCCCCTAATTTTGCAGCGTTGTACGAGTACGGAGGGGCTGCTAAAACCTCAGAGCCAATGGAAACCGTCTGGATTTTAAACGATCAAAAATCAAAGATGGCGTTCTGTACGCCGAACTGCAGAAGACCAGATGGACCGAACACCTAATGGGTATGAATGGCAACCGATGGACAAGAGCAATTAGTGACATGATTCTTCGGGATCTCAAACGTGCTGCAGGAAGACCGCCGACCAGATGGTCAGAGTTCTTCACGAAGAGCGTAGAAGAAAGATATGATGCTCGACGAGTCTCTAGAGCAATCAGAACCCACTGGGCTACGAAACAAGGAAAAATGGAAGATTAACTGGCGCTTGCTCGAGTCACTTGACGATCAACGGGACTACAGGTGATACTTTAAAGAACTTACTTAGTCGATACTTGAACGACCCGTCTTCACTAGTTGTGCAGGCTCCAGCATAATCACCATTTTTCGAAGATTTGCTGGTTAAGCCGTTGTGGTTTCCTGGAGTCTCGAGGTCAGCCTGGCCAAACTCTGCCCCAGGTCGTCACCACGACAGGCAGTTGCAGCCCTTGTGGATCAGAAGGAGATTTGCCATGTGTCTTTGATAACAGGGTGGTGGTGGATCCTCGTATTGGTTTACTCTTAGCTAGGTTTTCTGACGGAAACGTCGGCCTCCTTCTCAGCTTGGGAAACCCTGACAGGGAATGAATCTCCCGCTGCTCATCGCAGCCCGTCACCCAGGAACACCTCCTAGCCACGATGAGGCGGTAAACCATTGGGAGGCTTTAAAGAACATTGTATGAAATCTGTGCATATCACCATTAAGATATGTCTTTTGAATCGGTCTGTAAAGTTTTTAACTCTTCTATCTCTCTGTTAATAGTGCAATTCATATAATAGAATGTATTTAAGGAAGCGTGTAGCGCATGTTTATAGGTGCCTTGCAATGCACACGTGCTCTTTGGTTCGATCCTGCGCAGTGGTCTTACGTAACTCTCTACTCCTCTCGGATCGGAAAATGGATATCAAACTTGTCTGCGAGGATAAAATGCTGAAATGCCGAATAGATAAATCGTAAGACCATCTCAAATTTTTGCAGAGGACAGATATGCATGCAAAACACTTCTGCGGTGCTTCGTGAAGTCGAATACATGGCGCGTCCGAAAGCTCTGTCCTTTTATATTTAGCGTATTTAAGCAGGCGATGAACTCTGTTGCTTATTTTTATGTACTCGGCTGGTTATGAAGTTTCAGTCATTTGTTGACAAGATTTTATTCAAAAATTAAAAATCTATCTCTGAAAGTGAACAACAGTTCGTTGGTGGTGATCACAAAGTGTTTGAGAAAGCTGGTCCAAAAGAGATAAACTTGTTCGCACCTCATTGAGATGCCAGCCATTATATGACTCCTTCTCAGCTTGGGAGACCCTGCCGGGTAGAATACCCCGCTGTACATGGCAGCGCGACATCCAGGAACACCTCACAGACACGATGAGGCGGCAAACCGTTGGCAGGCTTAACGAATTCTCGACATCAATGGGCAAGATGGTCTTCATTTTACATAGTCGCCATGTTACAACAACCCGAGCAAGGCTGATTTCTTTATGTTCCTTCTTAAGAAACCGGACGGCCGATCGTATCCTGGATCAGTTGGTGGATGTATGAAGCAGTGAAGTAGCATTCTCCAGTGAGCATGTTTCCTCGATCATTAATATTTTCGTCGACATTCAAGCAAACAGTAGCTTGACAATAGGAATAGTGGAAGCGCGTCCCGGAGGACAAACTGATCACAAGGAAGAAAGCTGAGGCTTATTCGTGCTGGATAGATACCGATACAATAAGAATTTTTCCGTCTGAGCTCAAGAGTAATGTCATATTCTATTCTTCGACAGCGTCAGATTCCATCCCAAGAATTTGAAATTAAACGGAATCTCAAGTCTCGTTCTGATTAAACCGCAAAGTAGGTGAGAGAAACACGAAGCAAGAGCCTCGATAGATGTAATGGATATCATGTGATCTCCCAAGAAAAGGCAAGGGCCAGTTCGACGCCCACTTGAGGCTCCAAGTTTATCCAATATCTCAACATCCACATTGCTGTATTTCACATATTGCTCTACTACTAAAAAAGGATGGGTAGTAAATAGAAAAGTTAAACGCCAAGTGGTTTAACCATCTCAGCCAAGATAAGTTCCAAGAATATGAACACTAAAGGAAGCACATGTTTCGTTCTGGCTGAGCAAAGGCACGTTTCATTCCAAGAATCTAAGCCTCTGTTCAATCTCACGTTTCGTTTTGGCTCAACAGCATCAGATATTTCGTTCGGAGAATCTGAGAGCAGATGGCAGGCATCCTTGATCCCATTCTGGCTCAACGACAGCAAGTTTCTATTTCAGCTCTCCATCAACCTCTCAACCTCTATCGCACTTGTTTGCTCGATCTTATCTCAACATTCATCGTGTTTTCACGATCGAAATGTGGAAAAAGGAAAAACGAGAAAAGATTAATGACTGCCTACACAAGATAGCGAAACCTTCCATTGAAGTACTCAACTAATATGACGCTAGGTAATTCTTCTGTTATTCACGCTGTAATTCCCACTGTTCCTATTCAGTTCAATTTTTATCCAACTTTAATTTTAATCTTAACAAAGACGTATTTTTCACACTAAAAAGTACAGAGAGAAGGTCAACGAACTGTTGGAGAAAGAGAAAAACAAGGAAAAAAAGGAATTTTACTTAGCTGTTAAGAGGAAAACCCTAAAAGTTTTCTCTATTGATTGGATGCAAAACCAACAGCAACTTGTGAAAGAGCTGGTGAAAGTCATGCGGTGGAGGTAGAGAACTGATCGATTTGACCATGGATAAGTGCTGAATCCGAGTAGATTACTCCTGTGCTTTGAGTGCTGATTACTCGTTATTGATTAATCTCAACGGTGGCTTTTTGGTTCAGAATTGAATTGAATCCTGAATTGCATTCTGAATTGATTTCTTCCTAGATCGCGTAAAAACAAATGATAAGCTTCTCATCGTCTTATCAACAATTCTTTCCACGATTCTCACAGTAATTCATTCACTTGCATTCCGAAACCTGGACAACATCTATAATCCACAAAGGCTACCCTTTTCACCTTCACCGACACTTGCCAAATTTGAGATCAGATTGAGACGGGGCAAATTTGGAACTTCTCATACCTTCTAAAGCTCAAGTTTAGGAAAGCAAACGAAATTGAATTTAACACTTTGAGTCTTTTCTGAAAACAGTTGTCTGATCTTGGAAGTTATCTATAGAAATTTCTATCCATTTTAATGTAGCTTCTGATTTCTCTTTTCAATTCACAAAGACTTTTCGGTCGTCGTTTAATCATGTTACACATCAAACAATGCCGTTTACCTTTAAGGCTACCTTTTCAGCTTTTTTCTTCCAGCTCTTATGTTTTATAGCGTGACTCGATTTCATTTGGTGGTGCTCTTCACTAATCTTTCAGCAGGACTTCTGAACTCTCAACTGATTTTTGCCATTTTTTCCAACTACTCACCGAAATGGCAATGTGGTTTGTTTAAAACAAAAAACTACGTGACAGAATAAACTAGCGAAATAAATCTCTATATTCATAAACTTACACGGAGTTGTTACGAAAAAGCATTAGCTAAAGCACGTTTTGAGAAATCTGGACGCTCAAAAGATAACCAGGTCAGACCAATATCCGCGGTGCACCACGGAACTTGAGTTACAGCAATTCCTTGTGCGCCTTCAACAGCTCCGCTTCCGCCTGGTCATCTATCTTTTGTCGTTTGAGTAGCCGATAGCTCACGAATTGGAGCTAAACTGTGATAGAGTCCTTGGTAGTCCACAGTACAGACATGCTAACGATTCGTAAAGCCCGTAACAGTGCCATTAACGCTCATTCCTACTACTTCTGTTCTTGGTAGTTTCAAATCTTGCTGGTGGTCACCGCACGAAAATGGCCGCATTTTCACTCAAAATCAACTTTATTATCTCCTCACAACGCTACATAATCTTCTGCTCAGTTGATTGTCAAGAAAATAGCGAATTATTAAAAGCTATATGAACTAACCAATACGAAGATCCACCATCGTCCTGGTATCGAAGTCGCGTGGTGGCAAATCTCCCTCTGATCCACAAGGGCTGCAACTGCCTATCGTGGAGACGACCTGGGGCAGACTTTGGCCAGGATGTCCTCGGGATTCCAGGGAACCACAATGGCTTAACTAGCAAATCTCCGAAAAATGGTGACTATGCTGAAGTCCGCACAGCTAGTGAGGATGGGCCGTTCAAGTATCAAGTATATGAACTATTTATCAACGCTGAGGTTAACAGAAAGTCGGTCTTGGGAGTTCCAAATAGAGTTTTAAGTTACAAGAAGATGCAAAATGGCTTGGTGCTATAGACCCACCTTAATAGCTCCTACTATTCGGCCACCCTAAATATTCTTATCTTGGTACTTAATAAAAAACACAAACATAAACCATAAAGCAATCGGAGCTAATGAATTCCTACAGGATGCGCCATATACTCGACTACGTTCACCATCATAGAGGAGGGACCAGCAATGTATTAAAATTAGTGAATTATTATTCTTACAGGTGATGGAGTCATATCAAAAAATTGCACGACTTTTAAAGAATGCCGTGGGAATTTGACCTTCCACGACCAGTACTTTCAATCAGCAGCTCTTGAGTAAGTTCTACTTGATGTTAGGACCGATCCGAAGTGTTTCAGACTGTAGTACATGTCAGAAACCGCAAAATGATAAAAATAATAATAAAATGTTAATACTAAATAATAAAAATAACGAAAATAAGGAATAGCTAATCAAAATGTACATGTTGCCCTCGAGCAATAATCACAGAAGATTTGCTGTTCTGTGAGAAATTTCCCCAGAAACGGCAGCACACTTTGGCGTTGGCCTGCTCATTGCTGAGGAAAATTCGTCTGAAGATTGAATTTCCGCTCCAGTTAGGAAACGTTCGAGGAAAAGTTTTGATTTGATGCAGTAATTTGACATCATCGGTGCTCTCCGGCATCGACGAAGCAGGAACATACACAGGAAATACCCACCGAATGAAAAAAGGAGCCTTTGAACTGTTAAGAAGGTCAATTACCACTTCGGTGCAGCACCGTCTATCTGCTGAAATCATTTGTTAATTAATGATATGGAGAAGAACAATCGCAAACAATAGGGAACCAAAAAACGAAATGTGGGCAGCCGTTTCAGTTACAACGATCTCACGTCGAATCTTAATAGTGTTAGAAATAAGATGTGGTTTAGCTTTGTCATTATCCAGCGTATACATTTCCGAATGATACACTATGGATGGTCACCATCAACTAAGTAATCTGGATGGCAATCGACAAAGTACTACACTGTAGACTAGGGAAACTGCCTCATGAGGACACATTATTCCAGGGGCAAGAGCTGTCCTATATTCGGGCATGCTGCTGAGCCTACAAAGATCCACATCACAATAAACAACAACTTCTATGGATACCTGGCTCGAAGCACAATAGTTCGGAAGAAATAAAGGCGCAGAAACGCTTACTACACCAAGAGTTTACAACAACGCTTATCGATAAGACAAAATTTCAGTAGTACAGTGGGCTGCGACATTAAAGAAAACAGCAAAGCACCTTTTATAAAACGTAACTCATTAGAATTAAGTAGCAGGTGGTGAGGAGGTATTGACTCCGTTCAAAGCGCGGAAGGTCCCACATTGAACGAACTAAGCTCCACATCCCCCAAAATCGGTCATCTGAAAAAAAACTGGGAAATAAACATGTAAATTCACTAAAATTGCATCAGTATGATCATCTTATTGTAGTTCGTCATTGACTGAGCACAATTCAACTTCAGCGGGTGTCATCAATGTCTTTATTTCTGTCCGTTACCTCTTGACAGTTTCGTAATATCTTCATCCTTCCCAAGAAATAACGTTGGACCATAACGTAGCATTTTTTGGGATTTTCGTAAAGGAATCTACTTTAATGCACCACCTGAATATTGGGAATTGCCAGTTAATTTCATCACTATAGTTTAACAAGTGTTATTCATTTTCTCATTTGCTTCTCCATCGTTTTATAAACTTATCGTAAAACTCGCCTCTCAATTATGCCCATGCAGTTTTAGCTCTTTCGTCACGCTGACAAACAGGTCTACATATCCAAACAAAGATTATCGGATGGTGTATATTTCGTTTCAATTCGAATTAAGCATAAGAATCATGGATGGATCAGTGGGCAGTGTAATGTTAGTGATGCCGTTCAATAAGCGCAAGGCTGTAGTTCGACCTTACCCTGCGCCAATCAAGCCTCCATTCTGTCGGAATCGGGAAACTAGCACCAGACTGTCCTGCTATAGGGTCGCACCATAAAACGCGGAAAATTTTCAAGGCCATGCAGGAGATGTAAAACGCTCAAGCATCAGTTGAGCCGAAAAGTAAATCCGAAAAGCTTCGTGGATGATGAATACGAAAAAACGAATGCAAATGCAAAAAGAATGCAAAAAGTGGTAGGATCTACGCAATATATGACATTTGATCTTGTAAGATGAAGGTAAAAAATAAACAAAGACTAGGAAAAAAATGGACCTTTCGGACTTTGACTTTTACCTAGAGCTGTCTAATGTTTCTCGCGCACGATGCTCTTTGGCACAGGGTCATCTTATCTTCCCCTAAGAATCTTTCGTCGATAACGATAGAGCTGCAGATTCCTCTCCTAGATACTGCCACATCATTGAGGAAAACACGAATGGTAACCAACTACCTTATAAAAAACTACATACGGCTTTGTTGGCTTCGTGGAAAGAAATATCGATTTCCAAGGAATTGATAGTCGAGTTGATTCGAACTAGAAAGACAACTCTATGATTTTCAAGTTCTATTTCTTATGTTATTCTGTCTGAGGTTTGTATCCGGTTACATATTTTTGACAAAATCAATGTGACAACATCGTCGTCGTTGAATGCTCCTGTTTCGACTGCAAATGCGTTGGTGGATGGTTCCGATTTCAGAACAGCGTCCATCAACATTTCATGTCACTATTTTTGAGAGACAGCTTAAAGAGAAGCTCAGAAAAAGTCTTCGCTCATAGTTCAGACGTAATCGGTTTTTATCATGGTACACAGGTTCATTTACTCTTTGATGACGCCAACGTCTAAAACGAGATGTAAGGCGACCTGATAGTCATCAGTGGACAAAAAGTAGATTTCGGAGAAAGAATTTTAAAAAATAGAAAAGATGCCAGATTTTACAGATTCGGATGGCTTTGTTCCGATGAGGCTTATATGATGTCAACATTTTCTCAAGTACAGTTCGTTGGAGTATTTATCGGTAAGAGATTAAAGTTGTATTTCTACAGACAATTAGGCCGGATGGGCGCATATAGCGCAGTAGTTAAAACATATACAAAGACATAGCAAACCTGTCTCCAGTTCGACCTCCCGGAGTCACCTAGCCTTCTGTCCTACAAGGGTTGGAAAATTGCCCTAAGATTTGTCTGAAAAAATAGCAGCACTGGCTTGATACATCAATAGGCCACCACAAGTTCATTGTACGTGTCAAATATGCTTCCAACCACCGTTAGAAATTTCCCCGGCCTTTGTCTGAGAAAACTTTCAAAACAGTTATATATACTTGCTTGATACTTGAATGGACCGCCCTCACTGGTTGTGCTGGGCCCAGCACATTCCTCATTTTTCGGCGATGTACTGGTTAAGCCATTGTGGTTTCCTGGTGGACTCCCGAGGTCAGCCTGGCCAAAGTCTGCCCCAGGTCTTCACCACCATAGGGAGTCGGAACCCTTGTGGATCAGAGGGAGATTTACCACCATGCGACTTCGATACCAGGACGGTCGTGGATCCTGATATTGGTTTACTCTTAGTTAGGTTTTCTGACGGAAACGTCGGCCTCCTTCTCAGCTTGGGAGACCCTGCCAGGGAATGAATTTCCCGCTGTATATCGCAGTCCGACACCCAGAAACACCTCCCAGCCACGATAATGCGGTAAACCATTAAGAGGACATATAAGTTTTAATAAAACAAGGTCCTTAGATCGAACTATAATATTAATTTTCAGGCACGTTTCTTTTCGGAACACTTTCTGATATCTTCGGAAGGAAACCGATCTCTATCACAACTTTAACAGGAGGGTTTCTATTCAACATTTTGACAGGCTGGTATATTTTCATTTTAGGCTTAAAAAAGAAGCATTGAGAAAGTTAGTAGCTATCGAAATGCCTTCGCAACCTGACAACAAAAACTTTAGGTGAAGGATTCCACTCATGTACTGCGGAAGTACTGTCTTATAGTGAAACAGCGACAAATGGTTTTAAAACAAGCGTGCCGGGAAAACCACTCTTTGAGTATAACTGCAATCGTTTTCGATAAAAAGACGAGTTTAACTAATTCACAGCAGAATTCAGGAGCTGTGGCCTAACACTAATCCACTAATAGTCTCGTACATCGTTATCTATATACACCCTAAAATATAAACAGTCCTTTACAGTCACGTACTTTCGCTTCGTTTTGAAACCGTGACCATTGTCATCGTGACGTGAGGAAGTACGAATTACTAACAATTTGCCATCATCTCAGTTTGTTTTCGATCTGACATGAAAGTGAATGTGCAGGAGACTGTAGAAGTATCCATGGTTGATGGCATAAATTGTTCACTTGTTTTTCTTTCTTAGAATCACGATTAAGGGTTTGCTAATTCATGGCAGACACTGCATCTAGTACGTTTTCTACTGGGACTTTGTATCGGCGGCTGTTTAGTCACTGTGGGTACTTTCATCACCGAACTTCTGCTCCCGGAGCAGCGGATGCTACTTCGTGGAGTATTCAACTGGGTACGAAAGATAGTTATAATGAAAATATCATACATTGCAGTATTTTTATAAGTAGTTTTCTTCATTCCAACCCTTAAAATTGAAGGGAGTAGTTCGACTTATCCTAACTATAGTCTGCATGTTGGTTCCGGAATGGAGATCAGCCAGTATCGTAACCGCTATGTTTGTTCCTCCGGCAATTGTCATCATCATGTTCATTTTCCCAGAGAGTCCCATATGGCTTCACAGCAAGGTACCGCATTGAAATAAATTTGCCATTCTTACAAAAAATTTTGGAAAAAATTCTAATTTGGAGCCCATCTAGGTTTTTCAGGGTCGCATTGAAGCAATGCGAGAAGCCGAACAGTATATCGCTAATTTTTCTGGAGAAAAATACGAGTATGTAGAACAAAAAAGCATCGGGCATGTCAAGGTAAAATTACCTATCCCAATAAATAATACAAAGTAGAAGGTGCTATTTGAAGGTGAGAATGCCATTTTCATCACCTGTATCACCTGTAGTCCCATTGATCGTCGAGAGACTCAAGCGGACGCTAGTAAATTTTCCATTTTCCCTGTCGCGTCCATGAGTAATGGGTTTTACTCACTCTAGAGACTTGTTGAGCATCATATCTCTCTTCTAGGCTTTCCGTGAAAAACTCTGACCATCGGGTCGGCGGTCTTCCTGCAGCACGTTTGAGATCCCGAGGAATCATGTCACTAATTGCTCTTGTCCATCGGTTGCCATTCATACCCATTAGGTGTTCGGTCCATCTGGTCTTCTGCAGTTTGGCGTACAGAACGGTATCTCTGATTTTTCTATCGATGACGTACGTCGGAGCTTCGGAGCCCATCCCTTACTTGCGTGGAACGGGATACTTCTAGCATCGTTCTTTCGACTGCGGATTCGATAACGCTGAGTGGTCTTTCATCCTGCATAAGCAGCGACCAGGTTTCTGACGCATACCTTGGGGTAGGAAGTACCGTTTAGTCGAAAAGCTCGGCACGCAGTCGGGCGTTCTTTTTCTCTTTACTACATCTTCGATGCTCTTGAAAGCTTTTTAAGCCGCTCGTTCCCTTCTGCTCAACCCTGGACCTAAATCGTCCATCCTGTTGATTTCCCGACCTAGGGAGACGTAGCTGGAGTATTCGGAGATATCTGTACGGTTGAGCGGATTGGGACCTATGAAACTAATCCGTTTCTCATGAGCATCGTTTTTGTGAGATTCTGTCAAAGACCAATCTTTCCACAGGTTTTATCAAAGTCGGTCAACATTCATTCCGCTTGGCTAATGTTTGATGTTATAAAAATGTTTGATGTTATAGAAACGATATCATCAGCAAAGCGAAGATGGCGTAATTGCCGACCATCGATTTTTACTATCATGTTATCCCACTCCAATGTTCGCATGACGTTCTCGAGGGTGGCGGTGAATAATCTTGGCAAGATGATTTCACACTGCCTAAGCCCTTCTTCTGACGTCGATGTTAATATCGTTGTAGAATGGTGATATCTTGGTTGTGAAACTTTTCTACAGCTCGTGAAGCATCTTTATTTACTGAGTAGGGACTCCTCGACCATCAAGGGCTTCCATGACGGCTTCTACCTCAATTGAGCCAAAGGTCTTCTTTAAACTTATGAAATTAAATTGAGATAGAGTGGTCTTCTGTATTCTCGCGATACTTCAATTAGCCTTGTTATCGCGTGGATGTGGTCCATCGTACTGAATCCTTTTCGAAATCCTGCTTGCTCAGATGGCTGCACTTCGTCACAATACTGGACGAATCCTGATTAGGTTGACTCGAATAAAGAGTTTGCAGACAACAGGCAGTAAGCAGACTGAGCGATAGTTGCCGATATCGCATAGGTCACCTTTCTTGAACAATAACACGGTCTTGCTGGCCTCCCACTGAGTGGGGACCTTGCCAGTGTGTTTACGAGAACTGGCGGAAGGTTCTTCAGGTGTTCTGATCTTATCCTGTCCGGGCCTGGTGCTATAAGATTTTTCACCGACGAAAATAGCACGTCGGATTTCGGAAGGGAGAATCGGTGGCACAACATATCCATCCTCCTTTATTTAATATGAGGGTGGAGGACGTGGCTATTAAAGAGATCCGAGTAGTATTCGTGAATGATTTTTTCCATTGCCTTTCTGGACGCTGTAACTGTTCCGTCTGGTCGTGGGACAGCAGTAGTTTTGGTCTTGTAATTGGCGAAGCTTCTGTGGGCTTTGCGAACGCTTTTCCCGGCCTCTGCAGCTTCGGCCATAACTGCTGCTCTTCTCTCTTTAAGATCCTCTCTTATCGCCTGTCTGCATTGTTTGCAAGTTCGGAAGATAGTTCGCGGTTGCCTGCAGCTCGTGCGATTCCAGTCTGGCGTATCAGCTCGAGTGTTTCTAGAGACAGACGTCTCTTTTGGTGACTTTCGAGCTCTCAGCTTTCATAGCGATAACGTGAAGATGTTGAATGAGCCGATCGTATTCTTTGTCTATGTTATTGATAACGGCATCTTTCCAATAGCCGACTTATAAGTTGAATAAATTCCAATTTATGGCGGTTTTGAGATTTCGTTTTTTGAATTTAGCAGCTTTTTCTCCTTCTTGGGAGAAATGGAACCTTACGCGAAGAAAACGGTGGTCGGATCCCGTGTAGAGTTTTGGCACAATAGCGTCATTGGTAAGACAGAACCTTCTAATTACTATGAAGCAGTCTATTTCGTTATAGTACTCTCCATTGGGAGACTTCTACGTCCAGCGTTGGGTGCTGCTGGAACTGCGAGTTACTATCGATTGTCTTGGTCGCCATGATAAACTCATATAGCCGCTCACCCTGTTTGTTCCCTTCTAATCCGTGGGTCCCAATGTGACATTCTTCAAACATTCTTCTTGGTTCAGTCTTGGCGTTAAACTCCAATGATGACCTTGAAGAATGTATAGCCTTCTCTGTAGAACTTCTCCTAGTCCACATAGAACGCTGCAGCTTCTTCTTCGTTATAGTTTGATGTCGGCACGTGAACGAAGAAGATGGTCAAAACTGGCATTGCTCCACGTCTTTTTCATCGTAAACGCCCGATTCGGGTTGTAAGTTGTACGAATGAATCGATTTTCATGGACAAACTCGTGTTGACCAGAACGCCGCCGACTCCTCTACTGTCGCATGTTTCGAGGAACAGTTCTTCTATTGTGTCATAGATGGCGTTGAATGGGTGGCGTCGTCTCGTCCTGGTCAGGCCGATAACGTTGTACCTTATCCTTCCTGCTTGCATGAGCAGGTCTTCTATCGAGGACTCGTATGCAAGTGTACGTGCATTGTAGGTACAGATCATCACCATAGTTCTTCGTGATCCAGGCAGCTTCCACTGGCCCTGAGCTTCCACTCACCGCACGTCTTACAGGAGATCAGATAAACTATACCCGTGCTCATGCAATCACCGTCTCTACCACTGGGGCAAATTATGCAATTTTGAGTTGCACATAGACGGTCATATAGGCGGTTACGAACTAGCTGGCGCTTAAGATTACTCGGTGGTATTTCAACTACGCTCACCGAACTCTCTAAGCCCGCCCTTCTTAAGCAGCGTTTTATAGCTGTACTTATATCATTTGAGATGAAGGGTAGGATAAACGG